TCTTCTTCTTCTTCTTCTTCTTCTTCTTCTTCTTCTTCTTCTTCTTTTTTTTTCTTCTTCTTCTTCTTCTTCTTCTTCTTCTTCTTCTTCTTCTTCTTCTTCTTCTTCTTCTTCTTCTTTGGTCTCTATCTCTTTGCACGTACTTTCATTTCTTTCGCAATTGGGTGGCATTTGCAATGAACCTCGCAAGATTCAACTCAAAATACAACATGCAATTGAGAACATTAAGATGACGTTCACACAAGCTTGAGCGGTGTCCAATGAACAGTGCAAATTCGAAGCTGCACTCAAGGCACAATAATATACACTTGAAAGAGTTCAGGAATAAGTGGTTTCAACCGCTGCAACACACCTCAGGTGTGTACCTGACTCCCTCCTGCTTTTTCTTTCTTTTCTCTCTCGCTATCTCTCTCTCTATATTCTACCTCTCTCTCTCTTTCACTTGCACTGTTCCTCGCTCACTGTTCCTCACTCACCGTTCCTCTCTCTACAATGTCCCAGATCTACCCTGAATGCCTCTGCGGTGTGTCTCACTGCAAACGGGCGGTTACGGCTGCCAAACACTTTGTCTCCTCCCTCCTGGCTATGGTGGTCTGTTGCAGCCAGGGTGCTGGTCTTCTTCCTCCCTCCAGCCTTCTTCTCCATCCAGGTCGCTAGTCTGCACAAGCTCCCAGCAGCGCTTCCACAAATTTGCGAAATGAACAACTGACTTCCTCCGGCACTGTAGTCCAAGATATATAGTTGTAGTGGACTGTTTCGTGCCTGCTTCAATCCGTACTGGCCTCCTTCAGCCTCTGCCTTGCCAATTGCTATATTGGGAAATTTCCCGACTTTCTTGTGAGGCTGCTGCAAAAGTTTACTTTTGGGGAGTTGACGTGCTCCTACCGGTACTGTTCCGTACTTCAGCCTACCGACCTACGGTGTCTGATCCTACAGGCCCTAAGACTCTAAACAATTGGGGCCTGGACTGTGGTAATTAGAGACTCTAGAACCGGGACTGGGAAAGCTTACAGCGTGAATCCATTCACATTGTCTTTCCGTGTGAATTTGCACTTCAGAAATAGCCAGGATTGTAACACCTTTTAAAGTCTGTCTTTGAGAGAGCAACATCCCAGTAGTGCCTAGAAGTTAAGAAGTTAGAAGTCAGCACCCAGTCCAGTGCATTTGTCAGCTTGCAGGCGAATGGACAGGTCAAACAGTGCAAGCACAAAAACATATAATATCATCAGTTGACTCTATGAGAGTGATTAAGCTCTTGTCATTTTTTTCCTTTGTGTCATTATGTCACCCTGGTTTGTTATTAGTCCAGGTCCTCCTGGCGCTCCATTTGGGATATTTGAAATTTGAAATTTGAAATTTCATTATGCAGTTATAATACTGTTATATGCATTGTTGTTACTGTGCAGGTCAAAATCAGAGGACACAGGGTGGAGGCAGGAGATGTGGAGTGCTTGTTGCTTCAGCATCCGGTTGTTGATCATTGTGCTGCCAAGTCCTGGCCAATATTCGAACCGGAACTGGGTAGGGAGGACCACCAACTGGTGGCATACATAGTGCTAAAGCACCTAAAGCTCACAAGGGAAAATTATGGAGATTCCGAAAGGATGTCATCCTTTACTGAGGGATGGGGTGCAGACCATACGGCACATCACACTTCTTTTGGTGCCGATGACTCCGTCAGTATAAATAGTGCTGATCGTCGGCAAGAGAAGGAGACAGATGAGTTGCTGCGAAGAGAACCGCAGGCAGTGGTGGCGTCAGCAAGACGGAGAGGGGGAGAAAAAGGTGGTATAGAAGAAAGAGGCAATGTTGCACAGCTGGTCACATCGAGCATTTCGTCGGACAGCAGGGCACAGGAAGACCAGAAGGGACAGCATGTGGATTCTAGCGCTGCGAAGAGGTGGAAGAGAGAGCTTAAAAGGTGGATGACCCAAAGAGTACCGGAGTTTATGGTGCCTTCAGATATCCTATTTATCGAGAAGATGCCGTTCACAGAGTCCGGGTGAGTGTAGACCTTTCTTTTTTCTATACCTATCTTTTTCTTTTTAAAGAGGGCAACAGCCTTGAGGTATCATCATAGAACTGATTGCCCCCAGGTAATCCAGAGGTGTTTACTGGTCTGATTCCAGCAGTGTTCGAACTCAGATCTGTTTATCAACAGCTCATGGGGGCGTACCATTCAGCCACATGGGCTTGGTGAGTGAGTGTATACTCATCAGTGTCATCACCTTTTTACTTAAACCACCAGTACTTGGCCCAGCTATCAAGTCCGAGCCTCGGCCGACCGGTATGCCGAGCCTTGCCGAGGCTCGAACTACCGGGCGCTAGCTTCCCAAACGTACTTGGAGAAAAACACGAAAAAAAGAAGAGGGAAAAAAAAAAAAAACACGAAATACAAAAAACAACGACAGAAAAACGGGATTTACTCTATTATAAGAAAGAACATGGAAAAAAGAAAAAAAAACGGGAACTGCCTCGACATGCACAAAAGACAATAATCATGGCGGTGTATCTTTCCATGTTCTAGCGGAAGATTCACTCTTGTTTTGCACATTTCGAGAGCCATGGAGCCACTGAGAGAGAGAGAGAGAGAGAGGAGCCGCAGCCTGCACGGAGGGGCGCGGCAATCTCGCCGCCTCTCTCTCTCTCTCTCTCTCTCTCTCTCTCTCTCTCTCTCTCTCTCTCTCTCTCACGTTCCGAACTAGGCAGCGGGAATGCACCTTCCTGCGAAAGCGCGAAGATTCGTTCCCGTTTCGCAACAGGGAACTGAAACGCCCACCCCGGCGTTCGCGCGTGCACGAGCGAGCGAG